CCCATGGCAAGTCACCTGCCCTGAGCTTCAGTGTCCTCATGTGAAATGAGGACCACAGTGCTGGCTTTGCTGCACCATTAGATAACACCTGAATGCCTGTTACAGAGCTGGGCTCAGGGCGGGGTGATTGTTACAATATTACTATTAATCTTTGGTTAAGTCTCTCTTTTGAGAGGGATGTTTCTAAGTACCCCACCCCCGCCAGCCAGGTGTGGAGCAGAAAAGCATTTGCTCAGACCTCCTGAACGATCTCTCCTCCCCACTTCCCTCCTTGTGTCCATGAAGCCTTCCCCACCTCTGGCAACTCTTTATTGCTGTCCTTTGTGTTCCATAAGGCTCAAGTCAGAATTTATTGTGACATATTTTGCATCAGAATGAAACTATTAATTGTCCACCGACTTTACTAGATTGTGAGCTCCTTAACGGACAAATCCTACCTTCTGCTTTCTTGTGACTACCTGCATCTCAAGTGCTACCTGCAGTTGTACACTCTCAATAAATACAGGCTTTCTGAATTCATAAATGAATACATGCCGCCAGAATGTTTATGCTTCCAGAAATCCTGCTCCAATCCTATTCCTATCCAAAGAATCAACTGGGAGTGACACACAGCTCTGTTTTTCTTTGTTCTGATCTGTTCAGGTCAGATGAATATGTTATTTTTTATTACTCATCAAAAACATCTTCAGAAACTTTTCATCAGAAAGTTTTTTATATAAACCTACCTATCTCCTCCCAATCACTATATCTGACTCAGTGTGTTTTTTAATCTCTTCTAACCAAATGATATTGATAGAAATTTGTTGGTTTTGAGAATGTAAGTGTATTTCTCTTAAAATTTCAAAGGGAATAGAGTGAAAGTATTTTCAGGAAGTGGGAAGAATTCATATGTCAGCTGCAGCCCATCCTTGATTCAAAACCTACAGGCAGAGATGTGAGTGGTCAGTAGTGCTGAAGGATTTCTGTGGCTCCTGCAAACCAGCAGCCACTGAGGAGCCAAGATAGGGCCTTACAGATGTTTCAGGAAACTGAGCGCCCAGAAGAGTGTCTTGCAGGGCTCACCAGGTGCTTCCTACCCAGGCACTGCCAGCAGGATAGCCCTAGCTCTGCACCAGCCCCCTATCTCTCCTCTGTTTTCTGCTCCTTCACCTCTAGCAGCAGGTGGGAGCCAGTGGACTGTTCTTAGAAACGCCCAAAAAAACAAGGGAGCCCAAGAAAAAAGATCGAGGACCTCACCCCAGCTCAATGATCATTAGTTTTTAAAAACAGCAAAAGCAGAAGCTGGAGGTCATGAAAATTGGGAAAAAGAAAGCAAAGAAGCAGTGTCTTTGTTACAACCATTTCATCCAAGTCCTGGGTCTTTCTTCTTCTGCTCCCTGCTCCTGTTCCTTTTCAGATGAAACTAAATGAGTTCTCTTAGCGTAACACTATAGAAAGACAATTGGCTTTTATTTTTTAGCAAAAAACAAAAGAAAAACTTCTGCTGTCATTTAAAAATATTCTTGCTGTTTTACAACCATCAGAGGAAACATTCTCTTTATATTGCTGTTAACAGATTTGTAATTGATGAAAAATACAATTGTAATAACTACTTCCATATATTATTTTAATTTCACCTAATTCTATCAAGACCATTGTGCAGTAGATATGCTCTGCAGATAAGAAACTGAAGCTCAGACTTTAACTTGCCAAACACAGTAAGAAACAAAACTATTAACTATATCATATCACTTGAGTCATCCTTTTACTTTTCTTTGAAAGTAAAAAACTCACTCTCCTTTGAAAATCCCATCCAGGCTTTACCTGGACCAAAGTGCCTAGCTACCCCTCTTTCCATAGTGAGCTCTGAATAAGTAGCCTTCAATTAATCCTATAGGTGGTCTCTATTATTTCGATAATACAACCTCAAAAGAAGAAAAATTGGTGACTTAGCAATTATTTCCTGAATAAATTAAACTGTTTCATTTTATACTCTAACATTATGAAGAGGGCAATACATAAATAAAATAAAATGATTTTAGACATAAAATGTCTACAAAACAGTTTTATATGTTTCAATTTCTCCCTGTATGTTTTCCCATCCATTGTGCATTTTTCTGTTTTCCTAAAGGTTTGAACATTTGATTTAAGCCACCCCTCTGGTCCCTCTGAGTCTATCCACAGACCCCAGGTTACAATAATACAAGCTTGAGTTCCTTCAACTCCACCTGCTTGGGGTCAAGGGTAAGGTGTAGTGCCTGCAGCCTGACTGCTATTTTGGTTTTGAGACAGGGTCTTGCTCTGTCACTGAAGTTGGAGTGCAGTAGTGCCAATCATGTGGCTTACTGTAGCCTCAAACTTCTGGCTCAAGGGATCCTCCTGCCTCAGCCACCTACGTAGGTGGTTGGAACTGCAGGTGCATACCACAACACCTAATTTTTAAATTTTTAATTAAAATGGGGTTTGATTTTTAAAGTTTAACTTTTTTTGTACAAACAGGGTCTTGCTTTGCTGCCCAGGCTGGTCTGGAACTCGTAGCTTGAAATGATCTTCCTACCTTGGCCTCTAAACGCAGGTGTGAGTCACTGTACCCAGCCAAGAAGCCTGAATCTTCACAGCACACTCATTATCTCATTGGGAAAGTGGTTGTGTTAGCAGGGAATAAATTTCCTACTTGGAGTGTACTCCTCTCTGTCAGGCATGTGGCAAGGTATTCCATATGTGATCTACTTAACCCACAAACAACTCCACCAGGAAGCTTTTATTAACACCGCCAATTTGCAGATGGGGAAAGGACCTCATTGTTGAGAGGGGAAGGACCTCAGTCAGAGTCATAAGCCCAAACTATCTGGGCTCATAGCCCCATGCGCTCCTGCCTCAGTGGGCTACACCTCAGTGAGATGCCTGTTTCAGTCTACCAGTCCACTCCTAAGGACCAGGGCACATATTCAGAGAGACATACCAGCGGCTAAAGGTACTTCCGCATCCAAGAACTAGAGGAGTCCCATGTCCCCTTCACAGCATTGCTGGCCTCCCTCTGGGCCTTCTACCTTATGTATGTTGCCTCATCTAATCCAAGCAAGGACTCTTTAGGATTAGTGGCATGTATTCTTTTTATAGACAAGATGATGCCCAGGAGTTTGAATAACCTGCCCAAGGTCACGCAGTGGAGGAGAGGATTAGAAGGTAAATCAATGGACCTTTCACTACCCTCCCCTTCTTCAGGCTGTAGCAGTGAGTTAACTAGCTCAGGCTTGTCCAGCGGACTGTCCTTCAAGACGCACGGAGTACTGTACTGAGAGCTATATAAGTGCCCAGGAAAAAGGTGGCCTGACGCTGTTTGTGATTCACTGGTAGACGGGCCTTCTCCCAGGGCCAACAGAGGCAGATCTCTGTCTCTGGTGTGCCCGGGCCTCAACTTGACAGCCTCTTAGGCCAGACCACAGCCTTCCCAGGCTGCGAAGATCTCCAGCCACACTGAACTGCCTTGAAGGGACATTTCCTGCTTATTCCCTTGCCTGGCTGTGCCCTCTACCAAGAAGGCCTTGCCTTCTTCGCTTGCATGTCCTGCCCTTGGGAGGCTCCTTGGTCTTTCTTCGCTCTCCCTACGGATCTTCACGCCTTCCAGAGCCACTGCACCCAAGCAGAAGCCCACCCTGGGCCCTCTTCCCAGGGTGCTCCTCCTCACAGTGGTCCCCGGGATTTTTATTCTGTGCCTTCCTAGTGGCTCCTAAAAGTCTGGAAGGGCAGGAGCCACATCTCACTCCTCTGGGTCCCCTTCCCTAGCGCCCGGCTGGAGCCCAGGCTGCATTTGTGGAATTCATGACTTTTCCCCTCCTCCTCAAGCTGAACACACTGCTGGCTCCTGCTCAGGTGGAGCCAGGCTAATCAGAGTGAGGGGCTCCCCGTAGGGCGAAAGGGTGCGCTGTCAGAGGTGGCATTCCCGTTTTACGGAGACACACGGCGTCTTACACGCCAGGGAGAGGTCTGAGGCGCAAAGAGCCGTCGAGCGGACTGCGGGATTGCTCCGCTGTCATCTCCGCCAGCAGCCGCCCTTCCTCACCCACTTGCGTGTGCACCCAGGCCAACATGGAAGGCGCCATCCTAACTTCTGCCGTGAGCAGGTGGGAGGGAAGAGAGACGAGAGGTATTCCATTGGTTGTCTGGGAAAATGAATTGCACCTTCCCCTCCCTTACGGAGGATCAACTTTTCCCACCCCCTCGGGTGGGCACTCTCATCCTGGGGCCGGAGCCCGAACTCGGGAGCCAAGGGGCCCCAGTTCCAGGGAGGTGAAGCTGAGCGTGCAGCGGGCGCTCCCAGATACTGGGGAAAGTGCTTTACGGTGTCCCGAGTCCCTTGAGTAGTCGCCAGCGGGGCAAGCGTGCGGGTGCCCCGACCGGCTAGCGGCCCCGGGTGCAGGGTGGCGGACCAGGCGGCCCGCGTCCCCCTCCCCTCCCCTCCCCCTCCCGGCGGCCCGCACGTGTCGCCCGCGCCGCGCCCCCACGGGTTACGCGCGGGTCCCGCAGCGCCGCGGCCGAGCTGGGCTGTCCGGCCGACGGGCACAGAGCGGGCCGCCGCATCCCGTGCGGGGCCGCGGCGCGATGCTGCGCTGGAATGAGGAAGCGCGGCGGCGAGGGGAGGGCCCGGGCGCGCTGCGCGCGGGGGTGGCGGCGGCGCGCCGAGCGGGCCCGGCGCGGGCGAGCGGGCTGCAGCCGGCTGCGGCGCCAGCAGGTACGGCCCGCGCCCGCCGCCGCCCCGGCGGCCTTTGGGGGCTGAGCCGGAGCCCGGCGCGTTTGCAAAGTTTGCGCGTGCGGCCCCGCTGGCCCGGAGTTGCGGCTGAGACGGGCGCCGCGCGAGCCGGGGGAGCCGGCGACGGGGCGGGGACGGGACGGCGCGCCCTCTCCGTGTCCCGCTCTGCGCCCCTCTGCGCTCCCCGTTCGGTGTACCAGAGCTGCGAGCCGAGCGACGGCCGAGCCGTGCGCGCTGGGCCGAGCCGGCTGCGGGGCAAGTGGAGCAGGGACGGCCAGCGTGCGTCACCCCAAAGTTTGCGGAGCGCGGGGCGGCGGGGCGCGCGCTCGGGCCACCCGCCGCTCTGGGCGGCAGCAGGTGGCGACGCGAGGGCGCGGCTGGGGCGGCCGGCACGGAGAGGGCCAGGTACGCGGCCCGCGGGCGGCGCTGTGCGCGCGGGGCAGCCGGTCGGCCGGGAGCGCGAAAGCCGGGTCGGAGCCGACTGGGGGCGGGGAGTGTGGCGGAGAAATGGGGAACAATGCGAGTGAGCAACTTCAGGAAGTCATTGTGAAAGAAAGCTGGGAAGAGCTCCGCGGCCAAGTTAGCAGGACACTCTAACAAGTGCCTGCGCGGCCCGCGCCCGGGGCGGTAACTGCGGCGACCCCCCTGGGTCCCCGCGCAGCGCAGCCCAGCCCGGACGGGACGCTCGGCCGCGGAGAGGCGGGCGAGCCCGGCAGGGCAGAGGGATCCCCGGCTCCGAGGTTGCTCTTCGCACCCGAGGATCAGTCTTGGCCCCAAAGCGCAACGCACAAATCCACGTGAGTGTTTTCAAATTGAATTTCAATAGGAAAACTTGGGGTAACTGGTGAATATTTTTTAAAAATGTAAGAAAGGCGGTAAGATTGGTAATCCCTGGTGTCGCTCAGATCCGCCTCTTCTTTCTGAGGACAGTGAGAACGTTGACTTCTGTCAAGGGTCTGCCGCTCTGCACTGTGCCCGGCAGGTGCAGGACCAGGCCGGCATGGGACACTTCTGAGCAGCCCCGCTGTCACCAGAGGAGGATCTAGCTCCCAGCCATATTTAAATTTATAGACCCCCATAAACCCACAGAAGTCAGCCTTTGTAAAGTCATGTGTAAAGAGTTTTCCTTATATTTGGGCCGAGAGCTTTCTTTTTATACTGTAAAAATACGAGGTCGAGTCTGATCTTGATTTCTGTTAAAGAGGTATTATCCCGGCTTTGGAAAGATAGTCCTTTTGCTGACTGCAGGTTTGGCTCTCAAGTCACCAAACCTTCTTAGGAAAACAGTAATATTAAGGCACCAGGTTACTTGCGGTTACCTTTGAAATGTATTTTAAATATTTGTCAAACATCGCTGGTGATGCCCAAGGATCCTCGTGAGGGCTTGATTGTTTTTTCCTTCTAATTTGGTGGCACAATGTATGGCATCTAATGACCGAAAAACCCTAGCGATTCCATAGGGTCTGACCAGGCACAGCTTTCAAATGCAGCTTCCCTCTTTCTGGGGACTGCAGCCCACCCAGACTGAATTTCAATGTGGCACTTTCTGCTTAGGTTTCCCACTCACAATTTCCCACTGTGCTTCAGGCAGTATAATTCAGCTTTGAGATACCTTGCTTTAAACTTCCAGACAAAATAGTGTTGAAGAAATATCTCTTTATTGGTTCCATCAGCTTCTGTTAAAAAAGGAAAATTTATGGAAGTTGAAAATACTTCGTATGATATTTAAACCTTCATAGAAATTCAGATGCTTTTAAGGATGGTTCACTTTGGTTATGAGATGAGGAGGGAGAGAAACCAACAGAAAAATGTCCCGGGTCCTCCTGAATTTATTTATTTGTTTGAAGACATTTGTTCAACCAGACTCATTGTACTCATCTTTTATATGGGGTTTTAAAAAGTAACAGTTTCAATATTATTTATATTAGGTGTAAGAATTGTTTCTGTGACAAATCAGATCATTTGGGCTGTGGCTTAAAATGTACACAAGGCAAAAATTTATGACAGGAAGGTTCACCATCTTAAACTGGCATCTTGTAAAACGCAGAGCATGTTAAAGAAGTAATGTGTACACATACATATAATGATGTCACTTTAAAAATACTACACTATTCTTGCTTGATCGAATGTATCTGATTTCAAATTTCACCATGAAGATATTTTGTACCTTTTTTACATGAAAAAAAAAAATGTGCTTCTCAGTCTCACAGTCCACCAGAGCTGATGACCAGAACATTTTATTGAACTAAGTGGTCATGTTTTCTTCCCCTTTTGTTTCATGGTGAGAGTTGAAGGAAGGAGTTTAGGAACTCTCCAGTACTTTAATTCATCAGCGTTCTAATTAGAGTGCTACCTCTTGGAAAACTACATATCCCCATAATGCAGAACCATCATAGCAATAATTGCCCACCCTCGGGGTCTTCAAGAGACCACAAGGGCTACAGATAAAAGTGTAGATTTGTTAGGTTTGACCCTTTTGAAGAGTTTTACGCAGGCTCCTAAAGAGAAGATCAGCTGTGGCCATTTGCAGCCATTTCCCTTGTCGAAAAGTAAGATCGCAGTGAATGTATTGGCCAAGAGGTCTAAAGCCCCGTTGTGCCACAGGCCACTGTCTTCCTTGTTTGACTGGAGACTTGGAGTTTGAGAACAGTGGTTCTTTGGTTTGGATACATTTTTGTTCTTGATTTGGATGTGTGTGTTTCATGCATGGTTAATGTAGCATATTTTCAATATAAACATCAAAGATTTTGAAATTGGGAAGAACTCTATATACATTAATATATGTACGCACACATACTTCAAGATGATGAATATATTAACAGATACATGAAATAGAGAAATTCCATGTGCATATGAATGTACACAGAACATGCCCATAGCGTGGAGTGAGAGGCATGGGGCAATGTGAAAGAGTTTTAACATCAGACTGACATGAAATTAGTATTGAAGGCCCCCTTTATTTTTAACCTTTTACTAAAACAAAATGGATTTCCCTATATTATATAATAGTAAATTTTAGGCACAAATAACATTTTTTGAGTGTTTGCATAATGTTATGTATTAATGTAATGTAACTGCAGTTAGCTAAGAATTCATCAAGGATAGCACTGTTTTGTGGCATTTTTTCCCTCCTCTAATCTTTGGAATTGTGAAATAATTTCACCATGATATAAGTGTTGGTTCTTGTCATATTCTAAGGGAGATTGATGTAAGTGGCTTCACTCCAGCTTACAGAAGGTAAACCTTTTTGTGTTCTCTGAAAATGCTTGCCTTCTGATGCCTCTGTTTCTAAGACTGACAAGCACTCTGGGGCACTGCGAGCCTGCTTCTAGCGGCAGAATTGCTGCAGCTCCTGCCCTGGCTGTGAACATTGTTCTCCGTCTGGTGTCTCTACGTTCATATTTACAGAGACTTCAGATCTATTCCATTTCATATTTGTGCTGAATAATCATTCCATTTTATGGGAGAAAACACAAGATGTAAAAGCAACAAGTGACCCATCTTTTGAAGCTTACAAGAGAAGAAATATGAATCTATTTCACATCTTAAAAACAGATCAGTTTTATTTTGCTTAAAAAGGGCACATGTACATTTTGACTTAGGTTTTAGAAACGTAGAGTTTCAAAGGATCAGCATTATACACACTGTCGCTCACACAGGCACACTTAAAATTCAGATGAGGAACAAGATAGAAATGAAGTTTTATTAGGGACGTAGGGCACCTAAAACCAAAGGATATCAATAGTAACAAAACCGTTTTTACTGTGGTGCTCACTGAACATTCATGCTGGTGTCTTCATTGCAGACCATGGGCTTTCTCATATTTCTTTGCAGTTTAATAAATGACCTCATACCTCAGGTTACCTTTCCACATCTCCCGGAATATATATTTATGATCTTAAAGTTTCAGTGTCATGACTTTAGTAGCTTTAGTTTGAGTTTTTAAACGTTTGGTGATATTCCAATAAATATTTTTGAAGACATTATGAAACCTTATGAAGTGCTGCATATTACAAGTGAGATACAGCAGCAAACAAAAGAAGATTTGCAGAAGGTTTTTAAGTGGCGAAGTGCGGGCCTGCCCATTTTGGTGTCTCCTTGGTTGGTTACTCCTGAGAAGGCCTGGAGGAAGGGCAACTGCAGCGTAATCCACAGGCAACTGCCAAACTGTTTCAGTTGGCAGTTTTTCCCTCTCACGTTTGACGGTGATAAATAGGTAGATGCCAGAGGAGCCTTCAGCCAACCACCTGGTAATAAACTGTTAAAAGTGGTGCAAACCCCAGCTCACAGGTATGGGGGCTATTTGTCTTGCCTGTTAACAGGCCTGGCCCTAATTCTTTTCTCCCAAGGCCATTTCTGCCTTTGGGGAACTCACAATTCCTGTTGACTAAAAGAGTGCCCTTTTCCACCACAAGCTTGACAAATCAGACGTCCACATAATTTCTGAACTCACTTTGGTTAGGGCAGGAAGCACAGGCTCCCTTCCTGTCTGTGTTTTCCTAAGAGAAAACGGTCTTCCCTCCTTTTTTGCATATTTGGCAAGCGGTTCCACCTTTCTCTGCACCCTGGTGGAGTGTGAAGGCAGCAGTGGAACCTTTTGGAGCAGGAGGAGGACACAGAGGCCCTATAGCCAGGCACCAAGATCCCTCCCAGGTGGCTGAGTCTGAGGGGAACTCCAAGCAGCCCCGGGTCCTCAAAGTCTGGATTTGTGTGGAAAAGGCCGCTCTCACTTGGCCTTGGCCGGGCCTTGGTTGGTTGGTGAGTGCCACATGGTTTCTTCGTGTGCTTGCCTGGATTGGAATAGCCAGTGTGTTCTTCCCTTTTACCTGCTGGGGTTTCTGCAGCGGGTGGTCTGATCCCCAAGCAGCTCCCCATACCCCTGTGCGGGCCGCCTGTCTTGGGTGATGGAGAGTATCATTAATGCTTCCTCTGCACGCTCTGCTTTCGGATGGCCCCATGCTCCACCTCCTCATAGCTCATGGCGTAGGGCCACGGCTTAACAAATGGCTGGAAATGGGTCCTAATTAGTGGAAAAGTGCTTTCTTCATATTTTCTCACTCAAGTGTGCAGTGATTCATTTTTCTTCTGCAATCAGCTCACTGCTAAAGAAAATCTGACTCTCTTCCCGCCATTTCACACCAAAAGTTAAGTTTAATGGGTAGGAGGTTGGGCTTCTGGAGAGAGCAGTGCAGTAGGAAGAGGGGACCCAGCATGGGCTTGTCTGGCTGGTCTTCTTTTCTTCCTTTTTTCCTTCCTTCTCTTCTCTCTCTCTCCCTTCCCTCTACTTCCCTTTCCTTTCCTGTCCTTCCCTTCCCTTCCCTCCCCATTTTCTTTCTATAATTGGTGGGGGTTTTGTACAGACTGTTGAAACACCGAGAACTGCATAAAGTGTTTTTGAATGACCT